GGGTGGGGGGGGGGGGGGGGGAGAAGGTTGGATTGGGGGAAAATCACACAATTATTCTTTGTGTTTCAGATGAAAGGCAAGGGTAAATTTGTTGTTGTCTGTCTTCACTGATTAGATTTGGAAAGAAGGGGTTTATTTCTCATGTTGAGCCACTGAAGCTTGTCACCTGATAAGTAAATACAGGAAAGGTTAAAGTTCAAGGCCTTTCTTGCATCAGTCTTCACAAGCGAAACTTTTTCCTACATCTCGATGAACAAGCACAGTTTAGAAAGGAGAAGGGGCAGTTAATACCGAGGGCGCATCAAATTAGGAAATATCTTGAAAACCTCCTCTATGAAGCTGGGTGGGATTCACAGAGGGTATTGAGAGATGGCTGATGTGATTTTTGAGGCTGCTTATCTTGTGTATAAAATCAGGGTGTTGCAGTAGGAAGGACTGTGACAGGTAACTTTTTCAGTGGTGGCAGATAACACAACAAGGGGCAGTAACCATAGATTGCAGGTTTGAAGATTCGTACTGGATCTTAGTAGAAGGTTGGTGCAGTGACTGGAACCTGTCACCCAGACAGTGAATTTCCACCTTTGAAGATTTTGAAAACTTGGCTGGACAAAGTCATGGCTGAGCTGATCTGTAGTGCCAGCAATAGTCCTGCTTTTGAGCAGGAGGTGGGTCTGGAGACCTACAGAGGTTCTCTTCCAACCAGAAACTCTGATTCTCTGTGACACCTATGGCATCTGCCTTGCAGACTTGAGATTGTCGTGCAGTGGGCTGCCGTGCCATGTGGACCTTCCCAGCAGTATTATCACTCCTGATCTTAGGAGCTTGCATGTGTGAGAAACTTTTAACTTGTGTATGCATTTCTGGTGATTGCGTTGCTCGTTAATGCTCGCCATGTGCTTTCATTTTGTCTTCCGAAGGCAGTGAGCACTCTAAAAGCTTGTTTTCTAGTAGTTGCTTTTTAACTGTAGCACTGGTGTATAATTGGCTACAGGAATTGTATGTAGTGGCAGAGGTTCTATTGTGGGTTTTTTTTTTTTTTGTGGTTAGACACATTTGGATCATGATCCTTAGGGAAGGTTTGTTAAAGTCTTTAAGTATCCCATATGGCGTTGTATTATTCTCTTAGTAGATTGGCTTCATGCATTGTAATGCAGAGGCTTTTAATAAACAAAACCTTTATAACAATAGCACTTTTGAGGAAATGAGCCTGGAGATTTTAGGACTTCACAAGTGTTTTAGTATGCAGTCATAACACTGGACTGGAAAAGACCACCTAGCTCAGTGAGTAGTCCCCACTGATAGTTTTAATGTTACCATAAAATTTCTCCTCCTTTTACCTTAAGTGTTTAGATTCCTCCCACTGTTCCACTATGTGAGTGGTTGGGAATATTTCGTTTGGTGTTGAATTTTCAGCCTATTTTATTAGGTCTGCTCTTATATCTGTTTTTTTCTCTTGCTCTACCAGCGGACATCCTTGAGGTATTCAGAAATTTTGGACCTTTTCTTTCTGGCTTATTTGGCTTAGTAAAAAAAAAAAAAAAAAAAAACCAGATCCTTTTTAATCTATGCTTATGAAAGATTCTCTTTACTTCTGATCATTGTAATACTTTTCTTTTGATCTGGTTTTTGGCTGTAGATACCCAAACTTCGTGTAGTATCTGAGATGAGGGTATTTGTTTCTTGTACAGAGGCAGTAATAGTTCTGTCTTCTAAGAATGTTCAGAGGTACCCTTCATTTGCCTTTACTTTTCACTGCTGCCTTGATTTAATAGATCATGCTTATTTTTTGAGAAACCCCTTCAGGTCCTTTCTCTTTTGCTACCCCCTGATACTCCAGCTGATTCTAGAAATGTTGTGTACTCATTCTTGCTTTCATACTTACCTTCCTCCTATTTTTCATTCTGTTTCTTCCGTTCTTACAGTTTGATCTGGTTTTCTATGAAGCATCTCAATGCTGTGCAGATTGTCTCCCGATTTAGTTCCCCAAAATGCTGTCAATTCACTTCAGTCTATGCCAAATTTATTGCAAAATGTGTCACAGGGCATTCCCTAAGCAACTCTGCTGGGGAATGTCCCCAGCCTTCTGCTGTGGATTTTTTGGTTGTTTGTTTTGTTGGGGTTTTTAAAATTTATTTTGGTGCTATTTATTCTTATCTTCCCTTGAGTTAGCTTTTTGCCAAACAGTTCTATACTGAGTTTCAATTTCTTCAGTTTAACAATTTCTCATCTGGCACCATACCAGTTGCTTTGCTCAAGTTCAAGTAGATGAAATGTGTCTTTTGTCTTGAAGATGTCATCTCATGAATGAAAACTGTTCATAAGATCAAGTGTAGCTGATTGAGTAAGCCATAGAAACATACTATTGTATTTTGTTAGTATTTACTTTCAGGTATTTATCAATTTTCTCCAAAATTTTTTCTAAAAGTCTGCATGCTGTTGAGGTCACACGGACATAGTAGTCATTCCACAGACCTGTAGTTACAAAGATTCACTAAAATGTAGGTACTAGTTTTACTCCTCCACAATCGCATGTCATGATACCTTGCTTACTGGACCTAGGCTTTAATTATGCCAAGCCTCTTTGAAATAGGGAATGGCAATTACTCGCCTCTCCAGATCTGAATGTATTAAATTTCTTGCAAGTGAGATGGTTGTAAGATTTGGAGCACGCAGAACTGGCATCTGGTTTGCAGATCCCACAAAGACAGGACAGTACCTCTCACATCCTCACTCTAACTGGTAGCGGAGGAAAATTTGTTTAGGCTTTAGGATATATTGATATCTCTGGTTTTCTTCACCTTCTGTAATGCCATAGCAGCTCTTCTTTTAAATGTTCGGTAAGTTATACAAAAAGGACCAATTTATTTCCATTGAGTTCTGTCTCAGTCTGACCTGTGTTTTCACTTTAGAAGTCAAAGGGCTAGGAACAAAGAATACAATTTTCTGTTGACCAGTCCTTCTTTCCATCCCTTGTAGGCATTTTCCTTAGTCTTTTATATATGTTTTGAAGTGGTGGTTTGGTTGTGTGGATCTTTCTACACAAGCAATATTGTCTTTGTTAATATCAAAAGTTTATTTTATTTTGATGTTTTTTATCTCGGTACCCTTGTGTTTTTAGGATGCCAATTTGTTAATGGAAAGCAGTCTTCCCCCCCAGTTGTTTTGTCTTGTAGCAAATTATTGTGAAAAATGACAATGGCTGTTGCCTTACTTGTTAAAAGAAGGGAAATACCAAACACTTAAATGACTGTGTGATTCATCTGAATCTGATTTCTAGGTTCAGAGTGCCATTCATATTAATATGACTTGGCTAGAGCAATAGGATGCGAGCCAAAATACTGTTCCCTAGGGAAACGAAGGGCTCCTTTTGCGAGAGAACAGAGCTGTTCTTAAATTTCTAGAAATGATTGCTGCAATCTTACCTCCTGAAAATTACAATACTACTTAAAAGAGACATGTTAATTCAGTTCCTGCTGTACAGCAGTTGGACTATAAATACGTGGCATTTTTATCAGCGAAGTATGCTATGACTAAAAGACACACGTGAATGGTACTGTTACTTTGGTGAATAAATTTTTTTCCTAGGGTTTTTCCCCTCCATTTTCAAAGCTGGGGTAAACTGGACCATTTCAGTAAAGTTACTTCATAAAGCAGTTCCAGTTTAGCCAAAGAGAAGCTATGGAGACTTCTTCCATATTTTGAATTCTTGCAGCAAATCCAGTATTGTGAAATATTTAGTGGCTAGTTAAAATGTGTGTATTTTTTTAGGTGAACAAAAATAAATCCTAAATAAATTTAAAACAAATTTTGCAAAATAACGATGCTTATGCATATGTCTGGATCATTCCAGGTTTTTTCTTCGTGGCAAAACCAGACAAACTCAGGATTATCTTTAAGGGTTGTCCAGGAAGAATTCCTGTCTGTGGAGCAAAAGAGATTGTAAGTTCATGCCACTTACTCCAGTACAATTATACATTAACTGTGTGCTATAATCAGAAAAATCCTGTCACTCATTGAAGGTTTTGATAATGATTCAGAAAGGAATTGCTGCATTCTTAGTGCAACACTCTCTTTATTTTTTGTACTAGTTACTATGTAGCCATCGGCTTTAAAGAAGGTAGATTTCTAGGTTTCTCCTTTAACTAACCACTAAATTTGCTTGTTTTAGGCATTCCAGTGTTCAGAAGCTATTTAACGCCTTGTCTTTTCCTTCTGGGGAAAGATGCAGGGAGCTGAAAATATCTGCTGCTCTTCCAGAATTAGAGAGGTGAGAAATTATTTTTGTTTTCAAGGGATCACTTTTGTCAGCAATAATACAAAAATATTTTGGTATATGTAATACTGCTCTAAAAATTGCTTATTTAATAACTGTGTCTTCACACGAGATATTTTTATTCTGAGATAAATTATTTCCTCTCTAGGAAGCCTCTGTGTGACATTTTAACAATCTTATTTTAGTAATTTCCCAACTATTTATATGAATGAAATCTTTTGGTCTTGATTGTAAGAAAAGAAAACTTTTCTTTTTGAAAGGTTTGTGCAACACTTTACAGTCAGCAGCGTCAGTCACGAGCCAATAATGAGAGCACATCTTCCTGTTTTATTGCAACAGTCAGAAATCATTCCTGACAGCAAAGCAGAAAGCGATAAGGTAAGGAAGCAACCCCAACAGTACTTCCTACCCTTAGTATAGAATATTTAGCAATTACTCTCTCTCTCACTAGGTCTGTTGCAGGTAGTGTAGTAAGTACAGATGTATGTTTAGCTGTGCTCTCCCTCCTTCTCCAGTACCACCAGTTCACCCTGAACTCGCTTCAAGTCTGTTTCTTAGAATAAATTGCTCTGCCCTGTTTTCCTGATTGTATTACTTTTTTTTTTTTTCCTCATTTAAACAATCTTTTGGAAGCACTAATGGCCCTTTAGCCTGATAAGAGAGGCAGAAAATGAGGCATAGATCTTCAAGCGAACAGTTTTCTCTAATGTCCAGAAAGAGTTAGCCCTAAAGCAGTAGCTTGTTTTTATGAATTGCTGAATAATTTAACTGAATTGTTCTCTGGAACATAAAAGTCCTTTAAATAGCATAGAGGTAGCACATGATGTTTAACATTTGCTGATATTATCTGTAGAACACTCAGTTCTCTATAGGGGCAATAACAACTGTCAAACTTAAGGAGTGCTTTAAATAGCATTTTCAGAGAAAATATTTCCTTGTAACTTTCCAACATTTGAAACCTGCTGTAAGCAG